AAACGGTCCAAAGACTAAGGCGTTGTGAAAATGCACCTCCCGTAAATCCGTCAACGTTATCAGAAATAACTATTATTGAACCGTATACATTGACATTAAACAATAAACCCTTCCTCCTCTATGATAGTGGTTCTGATGATGTTAATCGAATATTATTGTTTTCAACTGAAGAAAATTTAAAAATATTATCTGACCAATATCATTGGTTTATTGATGGTACATTTAAGTCATCCCCACAACTCTTTACTCAGCTTCTTACAATCCATGCAATAAAATACGACACAGTATTACCGTTAGTGTTTGCACTTGTGCCAAATAAAACACGTGGTAGTTATACTAAGATTATTAATGAACTTCTAAATTTGGAAAAAAATTTACGGCCAGCAAGTGTTATGGTTGATTTTGAACAAGCGCTTTTAGGTGCAATTACAGACGTTTTCAAGGACACCCGAATAAGAGGCTGCTTTTTTCATTTTGGACAATGTATATGGAGAAAAATACAGTGTATCCCTGAAATAAGAGAAAAATATATTTCAAATGCTGACTTTGCCTTAAATGTAAAACAGCTAATGGCTTTAGCATTTGTACCGATACCTGACGTCGAAGAAAAATTTGACGAATTAATGTCCCAACGTTTTTTTGTAGAAAATGAAGAACTATTGTTTCCATTGAAAGACTACTTTGAAGATACATGGATCGGCAGACCAAATAGACGTAGAACTCGACGCCCACCTACATTTAGTTTAGCACTATGGAATCAATACGACGCAACACTTGCAGATTTGCCAAAAACAAACAACTCCGTCGAAGGTTGGCACAGAGCATTTTCGTCATTGTTAGGTGCATCTCATCCAACAATATGGCGTTTAATAGACACAATAAAAAAAGAACAAGGGTCAACGGAAATAAAAATCAATCAATTAATAGCAGGGCAAGAACAGGTAGCTAAAAAGAAAAAATATACGAAGACAACTACACGGATTAAAAAAATTGTAAATTCTTACCATGAACGTAATCTCAATGAATATTTAATTGGAATTGCTCATAATTTACAAATATAAGGTATTCATTTTTATTATAATTATTGCTCAAAATTTTTTTTATTATTAATATTATTATTTATATATTTTTTATTATTATTATTAAACAACATTTACATTTTACAAATTATTTTATGTGCCAATA